AGCTGGGGCCCAAACTCCTTAGCCTCAGGCTCAAGGGCCTTTTTTGTTTTATACCCCACCCAGCCTGTGTCACTAGCATCATTCCATGTGATTAGGGGTACAAGCTCTGGAGTCAGTCTCTGGGATTAGACATCCCCGGGAAATGCTGTGTGACCCTGGGCAACTACTTAACTTCTCTGTGCGGAGCTTCCTTTTTAAAATCGTTTTATAAACAGTTTTGTAGTCACTTCTAGAGTTTCTGTGAAGATAATGCACTTTGACCAGTGCTGGGCATACAGAAAGCACTCACACTGCTAGTTGTTTACTGTACTGGTTTCACAGAGGGAGTGCTGCATACTGTGGGCACACACAGCCTCCTCATTGCTTTTGCTCAGCCCATAACCTCGGTCTAGAATGCTGTTCTCTGCTTGCTGATTCTTACCCTTTAAGGGCTGCTTGCCTCTCACGTCCTTCTAATAGATGCTTATTTAGTATTTCTGTGGTGCTGCTCAAACTGAGCCAGGGGCAGTGGGTGTGCCAGGGTGTATGAAGCCAGCCACACATGGCACATCTTCCTGGAGGCTTCATTTTACTTAATAATTTAGTCTATTTTTATGTTAAAATAATTCCAGACATATCATGGAAGCAGAATGCAAAATTGGTAGAAGAAACTATTGGCTCGGCACCAGTGGCTCAAGCAGCTGGGGCGCCAGCCACATACACCTAAGCTGACAGGTTCGAATCCAGCCCAGGCCCATCAAACAACAATGATGGCTGCAACCAAAAAATAGCCAGGTGTTGCAGTGAGTGCCTGTAGTCCCAGATACTTGGGAGGCAGAGGCAGGAGACTCACTTGAGCCCAGGAGTTGGAGGTTGCTGTGAGCTGTGATGTCACAGCACTCTACCCAGAGTTACTGCTTGAGGCTCTGTCTCAAAAAAAAAAAAAGAAACTATTAATACTATTCAGAGTGGAGCTGTCTTGGGCTGTCCCCCAGCCCCAGAGAGAAGTCTATTTATTCTGCAGTGGAAGGTCTGAGAGGCAGGGACACATGAGTACCAGGGCGAGGTGCAGATGAGGTAAGGCAGGGCTGAGACCAGCACAGCAGGAGGTGATAGTTCCTGTAACCTGTGGTTCTCTCTCCTTCCTGAGACTGGGGATAACTCAGTGTCAGTACCACTCCCAGGCTGCCTCAGGGTAGCACCACTTGTATTACACAGTTTTTTAACTTTCCACACATGTAGTCTTCCTCTCTGTGACAGTCCTTATCCTACAACATCTGGAGTGCAGGTGTGGAGTGATTGAGTGGGAAGACAGACCTGGCTGTGAATTTAGAGCCTGGTGTTTACTGATTGAGCAAGGCACTTTTCCTCTCAGCCTTGGTTTCCTTATCTGTAAAACATGGGTAATACTTACCTAATGACATTGTTCTGAGGATGCAAGCAGACAACATGTGTGCAGTGCTTAGCACAGCAGATGGCATCGATGTGTGGCACAGATGGGCACTTAGTAAACATCAGCTCCCTCCCAGCAGTACTGGGCTCTCAGTAAACATCTGATTCTTGAATGTTCTCATCCCCAAATTATTGCATCCACCTGCAACTATTCCCACATGCTCTTCCTCCCTGTCTGTCACAGAGGGGGATCCCCTGAAGACCATGATCTGCTGTGGACTGGTTCCCAGCCCTCCTTGCCATCAGAAGACCTCTCTTACACAACTGCTGCCTCAGCTGCACAGTATCCCTCCCTATCAGATCTCTGTCTTCACTGTGTGATTACACTGCAGTAACACTCTATCTAAAACAAAAGCCACATGACAAATAAAACCCAATCCCTCATCCTTTCTAGCTTCTACTCCATTTCTCTGCTCCCCCAAAGAACTACTATACTCTATTTCCCTTAGGCTGCCTCTCCAGGAAGGCTCTTATCCCCTTCAGACTACAAAACTGCTGTTACAAAGGTCTCAGTGTCCTCCCTATTGCCAAATCCTGTGGAGAGTTCTCAGGCCTTTCTAGAGCATCTGAGACCTTGAGCCCCTCTGCCCAGCCTCCCAGACCCTCCATTCTCCTGATTGTCCTCCAGTCTCATCAGCCACTCCTCTGTCCCCTTTGCTGTTTGCCTCCTCCCCTGGCCTCTAAGAGTAGGAGGCCTCAGGACTGACCTTGGACCACTCTCATGGCTTTCAAGGCCATCTAGAAGATTCCCAAATTTATATTTCAAGTCTAGACCTCCCCAGAGTCTCAGACTTTCATATCTACTATCCACATCCCAGGTGCACTTGGATGTGTCACTGACACTTAAAGCCAACACGTCTAAAGCAGAGCTCTGGATTCCCCAGCCCAGCCTCACCTTCCTGCAATCTTTCCCATCTGAGTAATGAGAATTCGGTCTATACAATTGCTTAAGCCAAAACTTCAGGAGTTATCCTTAGCTCCTCTCACTTAAATCCCACAGTCAGTTCATCAGCAAATCCTGTCAGTCAGTTCTTTTTTTTTTTTTTTTTT